TTTGCTGTGTGGAACCTCTGCCCTCCGTGTCTTAATTTTTCCATTCCAAACATTTTTAACTGAATTTCCTTATTAACCCTTTATTGACAATTCCCTGCTGCTTTCTTTTCCCATACAGCATGCTTTCTCTCTTCTGTCTCTGTTCTGGTGGACATTCCTCTGAATATTGCTTTCTGTTAATTCAGCCTTCTTTCTTTCCCGGATGTCTTTCTTTTGCATCTACTGTTTTTGCAACCGTAGGTCCCCTTATTCTATTATCTGACCCCCCCCTCCGCTGCAGAGCCACCATTTTCTCCTCTATATTGTAGAGGAGATATACAGATAGTCCTCGACGTATGACAAAAAATGAGTCCAAAATTTCAGTTGCTAAGTAAGATAGTTGTGAAGTGAATTTTGCCCCATTTTACGGCTTTTCTTGCCACAGTTGTTAAGTGAACCATTGCGGTTGTTAAGTTAATAATACGGTTGTAAAGTGAAATCGGCTTCCCCCTTTGACTTTTTTTGTCAGAAGGTCGCAAAAGATGATCGCATGAGCCCAGAACACGGCAACCATCATAAATATGAGCCAGTTGCCAGGCGTCCAAATTTTGATCATGTGACCATGGGGATGCTGCGATTGTAAATGTGAAAAACAGTCATAAGTCACTTTTTTCAGTGCTGTTGTCACTAAACAAAATGGTTGTAAGTCAAGGATGCCTGTATTCCTTTCTGTACCATAATGACTTTATTGGCATTTCCTTCGTTCCTCTCTTTTTTCCTCTAGTCCTCTCTGATAGTCTCAATGCATCTTGTTTCTCTTATATTTTCCCCTATTTTTTTTTCTTCCTTCAATGCATGATTCTCTCAATACGCTAAGAAATCCCCTTGCTGTCTTTTTTCTGCTTGCCTTTCCCATTTTTTTTGGCTGTACTCAATCATGGTACTTTCATTTTCCCAGCAGTTCCTATCCTGGGAGCACCTGGGATGGCACAGAAGCTGACAGCAGTGTCTGAAAACTGGTGACAATGCCTCAGGTGCCTTCAAGTCAGTGGAAGAGTAGTGGGGATATTTTGGATGGGCTTTTCTAGTGCCAAACAGAGGGGTGAATGAGCTGTAAGCTAGAGATATTTGGATATGCAGACATCCCTCTTACAACTGGGGAAACCTATTGCCCTTAAGCTGCGGAAAGGAAATCACTTAGGCTGGATGGAAGATGACTCAGATTTGCTTCTTTGCCAGCTGAGGAAAAAATCTGAAATTCAAGGGGTTTTTTCCCCCCATTTTTCCTAATTGCGGAATAAGAGAGAACATTTTCTCTCCTACTCCAGGTTACAAAATAGGGCATAACTGCAGCAATATAAACTACAGATTGCAATTACTCTAGAGTCTGATGCAAATTAATCATCAGCGATGCCAGAGCAGACCAGCTAATTATGGAAATCAATTGTGAAGCAACTTTATCATCAAACAATTATATGATAACACTACTTTTTAAATGTATTATTATTTTTTTAAATAAGCTTTTTCCTCCACATGTCACCCTTATTAACAGACATTTTAATTTCTATTAAGCCAATTTACTTACTAAAAAGGAAGAAAATTAAGTATATCAGTATATGCACACCCCAAATTTATGAATAGCCTTCAGAATAAGACTCTCAGCAGGAAAAAGTCCATTTAAGTGTAGGGAGAGATGAGATTTTCAGACTCTTTGTAACTGATGGAGAATTAACGTGATTCTAGCCTTGCACTGATTATTTGCAACAATAATAGCCTGCCATATCTCTCCTGTTATCCACTGGTCAATTTCTAAACCCTCAGAAAATACGGTAAGTCAAAGGAACATAAGCATTTATAAGAGCAATGAGCCTTCCAAAGTAATTTATACATATAATAACCTTTATCCTCCCCTCCCTTCCTCAAAGGCTCTATAGTGCATGATCCACATCATAGGAAGTGATGTTGGATTTTGAGCATTATAATACCGATAACTAACTAAATCCACTCTCTTATTCTCTAAAGAAACAGGTAAAAGTGTTCAAAACCTGCAGAACAATATTTTTATTGGCTTATGTGCAGATACAGTATATAGTAGTTAAAGAGTGTTTTAAATGAACTATTGCCACTCTACAATTTTATGATTGCAAACAATCAAATGGGAGACTGCATTCTGGATCATTGTTCTCCAGTGTTTTTTCCTATTGTAAAAACAGGATTGCAGAAAGTGAGGCACGGGGTACATACGTTTGGCAGTGCCCCTTCTAGGACCCCAGGGCCTTTCCTGGGATTTTTAACGAGCAACATATGTACCTAAAGCTTTCTTGAAACCCTGCCTTTAAAAAGGACTTTGAATTGACATGCCCTGTGAAGGCTGTAGCCCTTCAATCAGTGGAGTTTCACTTCTCTGCCTTAAGAGGTCAACACTAAAGTCCTGGGTCAATTTGAAAGTTAATATGATTGACCACCTCGAGTTCAATTAATTTATGATTGAATATGTGTGAACTACATAATGCAGGGGTTCCCAACCGGGGGTGTTCACACCTCATGGGGGTGCGAGATGATATTCCAGGGGGTGCCAAAACTTGGGGTATATGCATAATTAGTTGCTGTTATTTTGAACTTTTGTAACGGGTGCGAGAATATATCAGAAGCGTTCTAGGGGTGCGGGATATAGAAGAGGTTGGGAACCGCTAATCATAATGGAATGATAAGAGTATCATATTGTATTGAATATTGTACAAGTAGTCCTCGACTTACAACTGTTCATTTAGTGACTGTTCACAGTTACACAGCACTGAAAAATGTGACCTACAATCATTTTTCACAGTTGCAGCATCCCCATGGTCACGTGATCAAAATTCAGATTGCTTGGCTGCTGGTTCATATTTATGACCGTTGCTGTGTCCCAAGGTCACGTGAACATCTTTTGTGACCTTTGGGCAAGCAAAATCAGCGGGGAAGCCAGACTCACTTAACAACCTGGTTACTAACTTATCGACCGCAGTGATTCATTTAACAACGGGCAAGAAAGATCATAAAATGGGGCAAAACTCACTTAACAAATGTTTCACTTAGCAGTGGAAATTTTGGGCTCAATTGTGGCTGCACGTCAAGGACTACCTGTGTATCCAAGTTAAGGCTATTCGAACTGGCATTGATACCACTGAACTCCGCAAATTTATTTCTTAAAGAAGGGTAGTGAGTTTGCTTTTTCACTACAGTAAGATATTAATCCAAATCCTAACAGGTGAGAAAACACGATAAGGGCAGCAGGAATGAAAGAGAAAAGATTCAGAGCTAAAATATGAAGTAATGCGCAACTTCTGCTAAGTTGGTGCTCTTGTGGTGTTGCAATATTTTTGGTTATAGTGGCTATGTGGGTCTCTCTGCATTAACTGTAAACAAACCCAAATACAAAAGCATGATGATTACCCATCACTGTACTGACTCTTGATAATGCCCCCCTTCTGCTGCTGACGTTTCATTACAAAAGTGATAGATTTCCCTGGCATTATTTTTCCCCCTTTTTCCAAAATAAGGAACAAGAGTTAGAGGCGTCTGGTAGATAAATTCCCCTATTTCATTCTTTAACTCCATCGTCTTTAAAAAAAAAAAGCCTGAATTGCCCAAATAGAAAAATAGAACTGGGTTAGAACAATAGTACATATTTTGTTTTGTAACATTGGGAAGTGAACAACTGAAACTTTTGAATACTTGCTTGGAGGAAAGATTTATTGTGTGACCATATGCACAGGATGGCAAATAGGAGATTTTTGGAGGGAAAAAAAAATCTTACTGTTACTGATTCTATCGTAAAATTGGAGTAGATTTTACTCACTTGTCTATTTTAACCACATGATCAACCAAGTATTTTAACTGTAATATGACCACGATTACATGCTGTTTGATTTGTGAAGATTGCCATAAAGATTCTTGGAATAGCTGCTGAAATACCAGCAATCTAATCTTACGTATGCTTCTCTGACAGATTTTGAAGCAAACTTTCTCAGGCTGATTGACAAGATAACCAATGGCTCTAGGATTGAAATAAACCAAACAGGTAAGGATTATATTTTTAGTGCTATTGGCATAAATGGTGCTCCAGTCTTTTGGAGCTGATGGCATATTTGGAATTTTAGACAACATAATCATTTAAAAGCACTATTTTACTAACATGTTATCTGTCCTTCCTTTTATCCTACCCCTGTTTTGAAGGACACCTTCCTTCCTTCTACTTCTTCTCAACTATGTCCTTTTTTCTAGGCAATTGGATCTGTGGCCAGGCTAAGAATTATGTTGCAACTGCCCATCACTTTTTTCTTTTTTTTAAAAAGTTAAAGGGGTCCACCTTTGCTAGCTTCCATTTTTTTAAAATTAAAAGCAACATAAAGAGAGGTGGCTCTCATGGAGCTTGATGGCTGCTAAGGAAGGTGCCCATAGTCATATACCATACTGGGAATCCAACTTTGCAGAGCACAAGGGGGCCTCCATTGAAGAGTTTCACCAGTTGGAAAGTAGATATGGGAGAATATAGATATAGAATTGATAGAATTGATGGGGGAAAAATGTGAGTATGTCAGTTGCAGGTGCTTTAAGCCTGTGGGTATAGAGAACTGAGAAAGGGAGTGTGTATTTTCTTTTTTTATTGCTATTCGTTTTTATTAACGTAATATTTGCAAAGTAAAAACAATACAAAATTAAAGAAAAGCAAAAGCAAAGTTAAAAAATGAAAAGTAAGTAGAAAAGAAATAAAAGAGGAAAAGAGAGAAAAACAAAGAAAAATGTAAGGAAGTGACTTCCAATCTTCTTTGCACCAGTTAGAAATGCATTGATCTTTATCCTCTCTCTCTCTCCCCCCCCCTCCCTCTCTCCCTTTCTCAGGTTACATTGTGACTTCCTTCTTTCCATGTTCTACCCTTTCCAATAATCAAGCCCATAAATCACAAGCTTATTATTTTGTATTTTCATCAGAAAGTCCATAAAGGATTTCCAGTCACTAACAAATATAATTATATTTTTCTTAATCAAACAAATTGATTTTGCCATTTCTGCAAATTATATCTAATAAGGGAATGTGTATTTTCTTGTTTTGTACATTGTAAGGCTTCGTTCGTTTGTAATTATTAGCAGGTTCTCTTACACCTGGTGGATTGACCTGACCTTTCCTTTCTATGCATTTTCCTATACCTGACCTTTATTTTCTCTCCCACCCATTGCTGTAACATCCTGGTTGCACAATGAGAATTAATTACCATGAAGCCCTTCTGTCGGTTTGTAGAGTCATTTGCACACATGATAGACACTGATTGACAGGCAAGGCACGTGTGTTGTTTTTTGTCTTATTATATAGCTTTTGCAGTAACATTTCTGTTGCTTTATTTTTACAGGTACAACTTTGTACTACCAGCCTGGGTTGCTCCACGGAGGGTCACTGGAACATGATTGCAGCCCAAATCGAAGTATTGGATATTATCTAGAGAGTCTTCTCTGCTTAGCCCCATTCATGAAACATGCATTAAGAATTGTCCTCAGAGGTATAACCAATGATCAGATAGATCCATCAGTAAGTTGAAGATCTACCAATTTATCTTTTCCTTTTCCTAGCATATTGTGCATACAGTGCTTTCACAGAATTGTAAAAGGAGATGGGTTAGAGTCAGGGGCATCCTTTAGGAGTGTGGTGTGTGTCAAAATAGCATGCATCTGCACTATAGGTAATCCTCAACTTACAACCATTTGTTTAGCAACCATCCAGAGTCATACTGGCCCTGAAAAAAGTGAGTTATAATTGGTCCTCACATTTATGACCGGCATTCCCACTCTTAAGTGATCAAAATTAAGGTGCTTGGCAACCAGCTTGTATTAAAATGTTTACCGCATCCTGAGGTCGTGTGATCACAATTTGCAGTCTTCCCAGCCAGCTTCTGACAAACCAAGTCAATGGGGGAAGCTGGATTTGCTTAGCGACTGCATGATTCACTTAACAACTGCAGTGATTCGCTTAACAATCATGGCAAAAAAGTCATAAATCAGACATGAATCACTAAACAATTACCTTGCTTAGCCGTGGAAATGGTGATCCCAATTGTAGTCATAAGTCAAGGGCTACTTGTACTGAAGTCCCACCTCATTTTTACATGCAATGTGACCCATACAGAAAAAGGTTCCTTGATTCCACCGGCACAATCTTCTTGAATATGTAGTTTCCTCTGTGGAATTCCCTTATGAAAACCCTACCTGCAAATTAGGATTTGGGCATTAAAGAGAGAGAGGAAGCATACTGTCAAATGTTGCAGTGCTCCATTCAGTGCATAGAAAAGCCTGTAAAAGAAACATACCGTGTTTTCCCGAAAATAAAACCTGGTCTTATTATTATTTTTTTGCCTCCAAAAGAGGCACCAAGTCTTATTTTTGGGAGGGTGTCTTTTCCACAGTCTCACCTCACAATGGTGGCACCAACAGCCCTGCCCAGCCGAAGGAAATGCCTCTGAAGGTGGGAATGGAGCTCCGGATTGACGCATGCACAGCACCCCCTGGCCTACATTTCGTTGTCAGAGGCCTTCTGGAAGCTTCCGTAGCTTGGTTCTTGGCTGCAGGATGGCGAAATGCAGGCTGGGGAACTCTGCAGAAGAAGAAGTGGGTTGGTGAGGCAAGGCAAGTGTCAATTCATGGGAGGCCTGGCTGCAATGATAAGCAGGTACAGGTCGCATGGGGCAGCTCCAACCCCCTCCCCCGCCATAGCTTGATTTTTAGGCGTGCACCTCGCCCAAAACCAGGGTTTATTTTTGGGGTAGGGCTTATATTAGGCCCACTCCCAACAATCAAACTAGGGCTTATTTTCAGGATAGGTCTTACTTTTGGGGAAAGGAGCCATGCATAGTCTTGTATGTGGTGACTCCCAAGAACAATGTGCCATTTCCTCAGCCCTATGTAGATTTTTCTGCCTTCCCATATAATGTAATCTAAATAGAAAAGTCTGTAAAGGGGAGTGCCTTGGGAACAAGATGCAATATTATGTGGCTATCCTTTTAAAGGTCAGTGTCAGTCTTGAGGAAAAACAAAGGAAGAACCCCTGAGTACTTTGCTTGACCCTCAGTCAGCTCATATATACTCTGCATTGGTTCTGATAAGTTGATCTTGATCAATATAAACATAAACCGAAAATGCAATCCATTTTCAAGATTCCATGTATGTATTTGGAAAACTATTCACCAATAGCTTAATAAATCTATAAGTCTATAAATGCAAGCCAGGGAAAGACATTTACAGGTTCTGAGACTCTCCACCAGTTGGACCATCTGAATATATCTGCACTTTTACCTTGTTCTTACATTTTGGATAAAATAGATGAGGAGAAAAGTGGTGTGAACTGTATCCTTCTCCTTTTAAACTGTTTATAAAAATGGATGGGGACCAATTACATTTTCCTCTTCAGCCAATTGACTCTCCTTTCCAAAATCTTCTTGGTTAGCTGATTGCCTTTGTAGACTGAAGGGTTCAGCGTTGTTGGATAAAATGACTGTAACTGAATGCCAAAATATTATCCCCACTGACTTGCTCTGTCAGTGTTGGTGAGAGGAATTGCCCAAGGAGCTAGCCAGAACAAAACAAAATACTCCCAACAACATGACAGGACAAGCCATTGTATATAAACAGATAGCAAACCCCATCCCTTCTAGCACTGATGATGTTAGCTAGTTGGGTAATGAAATGTCTGCAAGAAAACAACAAAGCTCAGAGAGCAGCAAGGATTCCACATTATATGGATGTGCTGCAAGAATAACTTCATTTTTTATATAGAAATGTTTTCCTAGAAACAGCAGATTATGGATGGCATTCATTGTCTGTGAAACAAGAATGGGTTAATAGCTAATTTATGCATCAGGATTGAGGGATAATTTATTGGTTGCTAATATATGATCTTGCATTTTTTAACTTGTCACTTAATATGCAAACTTAATTTTTATTTTCATAATAGACTTTTAATTTCTTGTTGCTTCACTATTGAAAATGTTCTCATTTAATAAAAAAAAGTTTTGTAATGAATCTTTCAGGTGGATGTTCTGAAGGCAACTGCTCTACCTTTGTTGAAAAGATTTGGAATTGATGGTGAAGAATTAGAATTGAAGGTAAGAATTTGCTATTGATCAGAATGTCACTGAAATTAAGAGATGTCTTTAAAAAATAACTTTCTATGAGTTCATATTTGACCATAGTATTGGTGGCCCCATCTTCTTTCTCTTCATTTTGATAGCTGCATTAATTTACTAGAATCTTATCAATCCTCTGGATTTTTGACAGACATTCAAGGGTTCTCTTTTGTTTTCAGATTGTAAGGCGGGGTATGCCCCCCAAAGGAGGAGGGGAAGTGATCTTCGCTTGTCCTGTGAAGAAAGTACTAAAACCTATTCAATACATTGACCCCGGTAAAATTAAGCGTATCAGAGGTATGGCGTATCCTTCTTTGAATGTGTCTGAAGAGAATTCTAGACTGCTCTTTTCACGCAAAGATTTCGTTTTTAGTTCAATATCCGCTTAATGCAGGCATGTCCAATCCGCGGCCTTTGGGTTGCACATGGCCCTGGATAGCTAGTAATGCAGTTCCACAAGATTGTAATAAAAATACAAAAAAGAATAAAAAGTTTGTTATTTATATAAATTAGCCGTATTTTGTACTTTATCTGTGACCCAAGACAAGAACATCGATAACTGAGCTGTGGATAAGTAGCCTGAACTTTCTAGCAATATATATTCACTTTCACAGCACACAGTGAGTAGGTGGAATTCAGATGGGTCCATTACAGCATTTTTCCTCAGCTGTGGAACAAAGTCCAAAACCAGTGCTAGACCATGCAAGTATTTAATTCTTCACGAGTCCATTCATATCTAAATTCATTGTTTAATTGGATTAATATCAGTGAATCAACTATGGCTAAGATTTTTTACTGGTATCTCTTACTAATAAAACAGAATCAAATAGCATGAGAAAATAATAAAGAGATAATCCAGTTGTGACACTCACCAGAAAAGAATACATGAAGATAGAATACAATACATTATTGGTTATATAATAACTATTATATAACTATTCCTGTGTGATCTTCATTCTTCCAGCTTTATCACTCACAAATAATGACAATACTGGAGCTAAGTTCAGGTACTATTTGCAGAGGATGGGGGGTAACTACCATCTGATTTCTGGTGGTTGTTAACATTAAACCACACGAGCCATCTCCTCAACATCAAATCCAGGTGAGGAGTTGCCACCACTTTTTCCATTTTGAGTTGGCTGTTTTGAAATTCAATAGGTTGGTAAATTGTCTGGAGTTCAGTATAACATCACTCTAGCTTTCTACAGGGTCTGCAGTCAATGGATTTGGTACGAACTTTTGAACCAGAAGAACATTGGTATAAGTAGTACATGCATAGTGTGGTTTAAATGTACATTCTCTGTTTTGCTTTTCTTGGTTGCAAAATATCCAGATGTGCATTGTGCATAGATGTGCATGCATTCACGAAGGAAAGGCACCACTGGTACTGACCCTCTTTTTGTTTTCAAGTGTATTCAGAAATATTTCCTTAGCTTCCTAAACCAGCTATTCGGTCAGGGTGTCCCCCCAGATAGCAAACCGAATGGTGGATTCTGCAAGGAGCATCTTGAATAAATTCCTACCAGATATTTACATTCATACCGATCATATGAAAGGGACCAGCTCCGGGAAGTAAGTTTTCAGACAATTCTTTTGAAGGTATATGTTATATGACTTCAGAGATTTTCATGAGATCACAATACTATCTAATAATATGTATTGCTATCAGTACAATCTAGGAATTCTTTGTGGATGCCAAAGGGGAACTTCATGTAGGCCACAGAGGACTTGTGCCCATTTTAGTCCATTCAATTTTTAATTACTTACCCACTAGGTCAGAGGTCCCCAACCTTTTTGGCAGCAGGGACCGGTTTCATTTTTTTCCTGGACAAGGGGGAGGAGGGTTTAGGATGATTCATTATATTTATTCTAAATTTTCTAAATAAACAAACAAATAATGCAATTTATTATTATATTTTATTACATTAGACCAGTGACTTTCTGCTTCTAAGAAAATGGGAAGGAAAAGAGACAATCCTAAACTCAGCAAAACAAACCAAAGACCCAGCACGACGTGCTGAGAAAACCATTCAAAAAGAGGGGGGGAGGGCACTGGGCAAGTCCAGCAGCCTTGGAAAAGGTGCAGATGAGAGAGGGATTCCCTTGGAGACACAGTGCTTAAGGGGAAATGTAGCTTCTCCTCTTTCCCCTCCCCCATTGCGCAGCGCTTGGCTTGCAAACTTGGAGACTTGCGCGAAGGGAGCACGAGCCCAGCTGGGGTTCCGGGAGGGGGACAGGAGGAAAGTGAGGAAGAAGAGGAGGAGGAAGAAAAAGGAGGAGGGAGAGGAAGCAGGAAGAGGAGGAGGAGGAGGAGGCAGAAGAAGAGAGAGCAGAAGAAGCAGGAGGAGGAAGGATGTGAACTCAGATGTTGCAAGCCAGTTGCAAGCGCAGCCGCTGGAGAACCTTTGCACTGAGCAAGCCGGCTTCTGC